TAATACTGACCTTTCCGTACAACAGATCATGTCTTTTCCCAGTGTTTATACTGATCCCTTCCGTACAACAGATCATGCCATTCCCCACTGTTAATACTGACCCTTCCGTACAAAAGATCATGTCATTCCCCACTGTTAATACTGACCCTTCCGTACAACAGATCATTTCATTCTCCACTGTTAATACTGACCCTTCCGTATAACAGATCATGTCATTCTCCACTGTTAATACTGACTCCTTCCGTACAACAGATCATTTCATTCCCCACTGTTAATACTGACCCTTTCGTACAACAAATCATGTCATTCCCCACTGTTAATACTGACCCTTCCGTACAACAGATCATGTCATTTTCCACTATTAATACTGACCCTTCCATATAACAGATGATGTCATTCCCCACTGTTAATACTGACCCTTCCGTACAACAGATCATGTCATTCTCCACTGTTAATACTGACCCTTCCGTATAACAGATCATGTCATTCTCCACTGTTAATACTGACCCTTCCGTACAACAGATCATGTCATTCTCTATTGTTAATACTGACCCTTAAGTACAACAGATCATGTCATTCTCCACTTTTAATACTGACCCTTCCGTAGAACAGATCATGCCCTTCTCTACTGTTAATACTGATCCCTTCCGTACAACATATCATGTCATTCTCCACTATAAATACTGACCCCCCTCCGTACAACAGATCATGCCTTTCTGTACTGTTAATACTGACCCCTTCCTTCCGTGCAACAAATTATGTCATTCCCCACTGTTAATACTGACCCCATCCCAACAACAGATCATGTCATTCTCCACTGTAAATACAGACCCCCCTTCCGTACAACAGATCATGCCCTTCTCTACTGTTAATACTGACCTCCCGTACAACAGATCATGTCATTATCCACTGTTAATACTGACCCTTCCGTACAACAGATCATGTCATTCTCCACTGTTAATACTGACCCCTTCCGTACAACAGATGATGTCATTCCTCACTGTTGATACTGACCTTTCCGTACAACAGATCACATCATTCCCCACTGTTAATACTGACCCCTTCCGTACAACAAATCACAGCATTCCCCACTGTTAATACTGACATTTCCGCACAACAGATCATTTTATTCCTCACTGTTAATACTGACCCCTTCCGTACAACAGAAGATGTCATTCCCCACTGTTGATACTGACCCCTTCCGTACAACAGATCATGTCATCTCCAAATGTTAATACTGACCCCTCCGTACTACAGATCATGTAATTCCCAACTGTTAATACTGACACCTTCTGTACAACAGATCATGTAAAACCCCATTGTGAATACTGACCCCTTCCCTACAATAGATTATGTCATTCCCCAGTGTTAATACTGAACCCTTCCCTACAATAGATCATGTCATTCCCCACTGTTAATACTGACACCTTCCCTACAATAGATCATGTCATTCCACTCTGTTAATACTGACACCTTCCGCATAACAGGTCATGTAGTTCCCCAATGTTAATACTGACCCTTCCGTACAACAGATCATTTCATTCCCCACTTTTAATACTGACCCCTTCCGTACAACAGATCATGCCCTTCTCTACTGTTAATACTGATCCCTTCCGTAAAACAGATCATGTCGTTCTCAACTGTTAATACTGACCCCCCCCCCCCCCCCCCCCCCCCCCCTTCCGTACAACAGATCATGTCATTCTCCACTGTTAATACTGACCCCTTCCGTACAACAGATCATGTCATTCCCCAGTGTTAATACTGAACCCTTCCCTACAATAGATCATGCCATTCCCCATTGTGAATAATGACCCCTTCCCTACAATAGATCATGTCATTCCCCCGTGTTAATACTGACCCCTCCCGTACAACAAATGATGTCATTCCTCACTGTTGATACTGACCTTTCCGTACAACAGATCACATCATTCCCCACTGTTAATACTGACCCCTTCCGTACAACAGATCACATCATTCCCCACTGTTAATACTGACCCTTCCGCACAACAGATCATTTTATTCCTCACTGTTAACACTGACCCCTTCCGTACAACAGAAGATGTCATTCCCCACTGTTGATACTGACCCCTTCCGTACAACAGATCATGTCATCTCCAAATGTTAATACTGACCCCTCCGTACATTAGGTCATGTAATTCCCCACTGTTAATACTGACACCTTCCGTACAACAGATCATGTAAAACCCCATTGTGAATACTGACCCCTTCCCTACAATAGATCATGTCATTCCCCACTGTTAATACTGACACCTTCCCTACAATAGATCATGTAATTCCCTACTGTTAATACTGACCTTTCCGTACAACAGATCATTTCATTCCCCACTTTTAATACTGACCCATCCGTACAACAGATCATGCCCTTCTCTACTGTTAATACTGATCCCTTCTGTAAAACAGATCATGTCGTTCTCAACTGTTAATACTGACCCCCCCTTCCGTACAACAGATCATGTCATTCTCCACTGTTAAAACTGACCCCTTCCGTACAACAGATCATGTCTTTCTCCATTGTTAATACTGACCCCCCTCCGTACAACAGAAGATGTCATTCCCCACTGTTGATACTGACCCCTTCCGTACAACAGATCATGTCATCTCCAAATGTTAATACTGACCCCTCCGTACTACAGATCATGTAATTCCCCACTGTTAATACTGACACCTTCCGTACAACAGATCATGTAAAACCCCATTGTGAATACTGACCCCTTCCCTACAATAGATCATGTCATTCCCCATTGTGAATACTGACCCCTTCCCTACAATAGATCATGTCATTCCCCAGTGTTTAATACTGAACCCTTCCCTAAAATAGATCATGTCATTCCCCACTGTTAATACTGACCCTTTCCCTACAATAGATCATGTCATTCCACTCTGTTAATACTGACCCCCCTTCGTACAACAGATGATGTTATTCTCCACTGTTAATACTGACCCCTTCCGTATAACAGATCATGTAATTCCCCACTGTTAATACTGACCCCTTCCGTACAACAGATCATGTCATTCCCCACTGTTAATACTGACCCCTTCCGTACAACAGATGATGTGATTTCCACTGTTAACACTGACCCCTTCAGTTCAAGAAATCATGTCATTCTCCACTGTTAATACTGACCCTTCCGTACATTAGATCATGTCATTCCCCAGTGTTAATACTTTCCCCTTCTGTACAACAGATCATGTCATCCCCCACTGTTAATACTGACCCCTTCCGTATAACAGATCATGTCATTCCCCACTGTTAATACTGACCCTTCCGTACAACAGATCATGTCATTCTCCACTGTTAATACTGACCCCTTCCGTACAACAGATCATGTCATTCCCCAGTGTTAATACTGACCCTTCCGTACAACAGATCATGTGTTTCCCCAGTGTTAATACTGACCCCTGCCGTACAACAGATCATGTCATTCCCCACTGTTAATACTGACCCCTTCCGTACAACAGATCATGTCATTCCCCACTGTTAATACTGACCCCCCTCCGTACAACAGATCATGTCATTCTCCACTGTTAATACTGACCCCTTCCGTACAACAGATCATGTCATTCTCCATTATTAATACTGACCCCCCTCCGTGCAACAGATCATGTCATTCTCAAATGTTAATACTGACCCTTCCGTACAACAGATCTTGTCACTCTCCACTGTTAATACTGACCCTTCCGTACAACAGATCATGTGTTTCCCCAGTGTTAATACTGACCCCTTCCGTACAACAGATCATGTCATTCCCCACTGTTAATACTGACCCCCCTCCGTACAACAGATCATGTCATTCTCCACTGTTAATACTGAACCCTTCCGTACAACAGATCATGTCATTCTCCATTATTAATACTGACCCCCCTCCGTGCAACAGATCATGTCATTCTCAAATGTTAATACTGACCCTTCCGTACAACAGATCTTGTCACTCTCCACTGTTAATACTGACCCTTCCGTACAACAGATCATGTTATTTCCACTGTTAACACTGACCCCTTCAGTTCAAGAAATCATGTCATTCTCCACTGTTCATACTGACCCTTCCGTACAATAGATCATGTCATTCCCCACTGTTAATACTGACCCCTTCCGTACAACAGATCATGTCATTCCCCACTGTTAATACTGACCCTTCCGGAGAACAGATCATGTCAATCCCCGCTGTTAATACTGACCCTTCCGTACAACAGATCATGTCATTCTTCACTGTTAATACTGACCCTTCCGTACAATAGATCATGTCATTCCCCAGTGTTAATACTGACCCCTTCCGTACAACAGATGATGTCATCCCCCACTGTTAGTGCTGACCCCTCCGTACAACAGATCATGCCATTGTCTACTGTTAATACTGATCCTTCCGTACAACAGATCATGTCATTCTCCACTGTTAATACTGACCCCCCTCCGTACAACAGATCATGTCTTTCTTCACTGTTAATACTGACCATTCCGGACAACAGATCATGTGATTCCCCAGTGTTAATACTGACCCCTTCCGTACAACAGATCATGCCATCCTCTACTGTTAATACTGATCCTTCCGTACAACAGATCATATCATTCTCCGCTGTTAATACTGACCCCCTTGTACTTCATTATGTACAGCAGTTGGGTATATGATAGACATTGAAACTTGATCTTTTCATTGCATCCTCCCTCCCCATGGACTGCAGGCGACAACAACTGGCACGTGATCATGACAGTGTCTCTGACCAACCCACAGCCCTGCAATGGAGCTGAACTGTGGGAGTTGACCGACTTATTTCCGGTATTCAATACTGGATATCGTTCAAGGTCGAAAACATAATATTTACAGCGTGTGAGATTTGAGGAGGTGTGTTCCCCTCAGCCAATCAGGTCAACAGAAAGCAAAATACGCCACTCCCACTGTACTACGCTATTCCATCTTCCACCCTCACGTTGTAGTTGGAGGAAGACCACGCTCTGGACGCCTACTATAACATGTAAAATATCATCATCAAGTCCATTGTCAATACATTATTATCTGACTAACTGGTGATGAGATGTGTAAGACGACGCGAAGTCACACAGTGTAAATTAATGTAACTGCAGCAAACACATTTCGTTCAAGAATGCTGGCGATGTGGTCTGTCCTCCAGTGTATGTATCAAGTCGGTCACGTCATGTGTCTCTCTGAACACTGACACGTTTACCGCTATCACGTTGCATACTGAAGTCGGTATTAAGCTTTTATCTCTGGTATCCCGGCCATGTCAACAGGCTGTTTATCTCACACGTACCCAAATATTACCGTCTACATTCAAATAGCCTCCGATTCTTAAAGCTGAAATGCCAAACTGTTTTGTACAAAACGCACTCTCATTTGTTTGCAACGACACAAGTGTCACGAGGCAAGCGGGGTAAGGTAAGCGTAGGGTGCACGTACTAAGCTGAAACATAGAGAGTTGTCGAATATCTGTGACACGGTGTTTCCAGGGTGTACTACGACCTTATTATCAACTTGTTAACTCGATTCCCGCTCAAGCAGTCCACCTGAAACCAGCTGCGTCCAGTTTGTTGTTGACAGCACAAGAACGTGGGCTGTAGTCAGCTGGTCTCCTCGTCTTGTGATACTGCCCAAAACATCTATATTGCTGCTACCAGGAAGGCTACCACAGGTATGTAGACCTAGGGCGTCTTTAATAGGATGGAATTCTAAACTGGAAAGTAACGTTTCATATGATATTGCTTTCTCCTGTTGTGATGTGATCATGTAAAACACGGCATACGAACGGCACAAGACACATGTTGTAATGAATCATGTTAAACTGGCAGATGAATGATACAAGACACATGTTGTAATGAATCATGTTAAACTGGGCAGATGAATGATACAAGACACATGTTGTAATGAATCATGTTAAACTGGGCAGATGAACAACACAAGACACATGTTGTAATGAATCATGTTAAACTGGGCAGATGAACGACACAAGACACATGTTGTAATGAATCATGTTTAACTAGGCAGATGAACGACACAAGACAGAGGACACATGTTGTAATGAATCATGTTTAACTAGGCAGATGAATGATACAAGACACATGTTGTAATGAATCATGTTAAACTAGGCAGATGAATGATACAAGACACATGTTGTAATGAATCATGTTAAACTGGGCAGATGAACAACACAAGACACATGTTGTAATGAATCATGTTTAACTAGGCAGATGAACGACACAAGACAGAGGACACATGTTGTAATGAATCATGTTTAACTAGGCAGATGAATGATACAAGACACATGTTGTAATGAATCATGTTTAACTTGACAGATGAATGATACAAGACACATGTTGTAATGAATCATGTTTAACTAGGCAGATGAATGATACAAGACACATGTTGTAATGAATCATGTTAAACTGGGCAGATGAACGACACAAGACACATGTTGTAATGAATTATGTTTAACTAGGCAGATGAACGACACAAGACACGTGTTGTAATGAATCACGTTAAACTGGGCAGATGAATGACACAAGACACATGTAATGAATCATGTTAAATTGGGCAGATGAACGACACAGGACACAAGACACATGTTGTAATGAATCATGTTTAACTAGGCAGATGAATGATACAAGACACATGTTGTAATGAATCATGTTAAACTTGGCAGATGAACGACACAAGACACATGTTGTAATGAATCATGTTAAACTGGGCAGATGAACAACACAAGACACATGTTGTAATGAATCATGTTTAACTAGGCAGATGAACGACAAAAGACACATGTTGTAATGAATCATGTTAAACTGGGCAGATGAACGACACAAGACACATGTAATGAATCATGTTAAACTGGGCAGATGAACGACACAAGACACATGTTGTAATGAATCATGTTTAACTAGGCAGATGAATGATACAAGACACATGTTGTAATGAATCATGTTGAACTGGGCAGATGAATGAAACAAGACACATGTTTTAATGAATCACGTTAAACTAGGCAGATGAACGACACAGGACACATGTTGTAATGAATCATGTTTAACTAGGCAGATGAATGATACAAGACACATGTTGTAATGAATCATGTTAAACTGGGCAGATGTATAACACAAGACACAGGACACATGTTGTAATGAATCATGTTAAACTGGGCAGATGAATGATACAAGACACATGTTGTAATGAATCATGTTAAACTTGGCAGATGAATGATACAAGACACATGTTGTAATGAATCATGTTAAACTTGGCAGATGAATGATACAAGACACATGTTGTAATGAATCATGTTAAACTGGGCAGATGAACGACACAAGACACATGTTGTAATGAATCATGTTTAACTAGGCAGATGAACGACACAAGACAGAGGACACATGTTGTAATGAATCATGTTTAACTGGGCAGATGAATGATACAAGACACATGTTGTAATGAATCATGTTAAACTGGGCAGATGAACAACACAAGACACATGTTGTAATGAATCATGTTTAACTAGGCAGATGAACGACACAAGACAGAGGACACATGTTGTAATGAATCATGTTTAACTAGGCAGATGAATGATACAAGACACATGTTGTAATGAATCATGTTTAACTTGACAGATGAATGATACAAGACACATGTTGTAATGAATCATGTTTAACTAGGCAGATGAATGATACAAGACACATGTTGGAATGAATCATGTTAAACCTGGCAGATGAACGACACAAGACACATGTTGTAATGAATTATGTTTAACTAGGCAGATGAACGACACAAGACACGTGTTGTAATGAATCATGTTAAACTGGGCAGATGAATGACACAAGACACATGTAATGAATCATGTTAAATTGGGCAGATGAACGACACAGGACACAAGACACATGTTGTAATGAATCATGTTTAACTAGGCAGATGAATGATACAAGACACATGTTGTAATGAATCATGTTAAACTTGGCAGATGAACGACACAAGACACATGTTGTAATGAATCATGTTAAACTAGGCAGATGAACGACACAAGACACATGTTGTAATGAATCATGTTAAACTGGGCAGATGAACGACACAAGACACATGTAATGAATCATGTTAAACTGGGCAGATGAACGACACAGGACACATGTTGTAATGAATCATGTTTAACTAGGCAGATGAATGATACAAGACACATGTTGTAATGAATCATGTTGAACTGGGCAGATGAATGATACAAGACACATGTTTTAATAAATCACGTTAAACTAGGCAGATGAACGACACAGGACACATGTTGTAATGAATCATGTTTAACTAGGCAGATGAATGATACAAGACACATGTTGTAAGGAATCATGTTAAACTGGGCAGATGTATAACACAAGACACAGGACACATGTTGTAATGAATCATGTTAAACTGGGCAGATGAATAACACAAGACACAGGACACATGTTGTAATGAATCATGTTAAACTGGACAGATGAATGATACAAGACACATGTTGTAATGAATCATGTTAAACTTGGCAGATGAATGATACAAGACACATGTTGTAATGAATCATGTTAAACTGGGCAGATGAATGATACAATACACATGTTGTAATGAATCATGTTAAACTAGGCAGATGAATGATACAAGACACATGTTGTAATGAATCATGTTAAACTGGACAGATGAATGATACAAGACACATGTTGTAATGAATCATGTTAAACTAGGCAGATGAATGATACAAGACACATGTTGTAATGAATCATGTTAAACTAGGCAGATGAACGACACAAGACACAGGACACATGTTGTAATTAATCATGTTAAACTGGGCAGATGAATGATACGAGACACATGTTGTAATGAATCATGTTAAACTGGGCAGATGAATGATACAAGACACATGTTGTAATGAATAATGTTAAACTGGGCAGATGAATGATACACGACACATGTTGTAATGAATCATGTTAAACTGGACAGATGAACGACACAAGACACATGTTGTAATGAATCATGTTAAACTGGACAGATGAACGACACAAGACACATGTTGTAATGAATCATGTTAAACTGGACAGATGAACGACACAAGACTCAAAATACAAGACAGAAGACACGTGTTTTAATTTCATTATAAGAGGCACGGCAGACACATGCTGTGTTCTGATCATTTGGACCAGGGGGGTCAGAAGACCAACAAACAAAAGCTGTATTGGTTATTGTAAATCCACAGGCAACGAACGAGTATATGCACTGGTTTCCTTGCATTTCAGGTGACTTTGAAGAACACATATCCGAAACTGGTGTAGAAGTGACTCCCATAGATACATGGGTAGGTACTTACTGACTAAATGTGTTTTGTAAACAATGTGTTTTGTAAACGTTATTGTCAGAGTGTTGTTATTATCAGACATGTTGCATCTTGTCATTTTATGATGATGGTGGTGTTGTCTGTTTGTACAGCAGCAACTCTCTGGCCGGTATGTGTGCAGCGCGAGTATCTCAATGACAACTGGGTGTGGGACTATCACACCAAACCCCCCGAAGTCTTGCTGTCACCTGATCTTGAGGACGCCTACTTTCACACAGATCCGGTCGACCAGAGCACAGGAACAGCCGGTAAGCATAACAACAGCTCCCCCTAGATACACTCGCAGGAAGCTAACATCTATTTCAGTTTGAAGCAGTTTCGTGGTAGTGTCCCCCGTTGCCATGTTAAAGTTGTCTCGGGGGAAGCAGGTTCTGTCTCTGTGTTGTACCTTGTTTTTTTTGGTATACATATACCGTTATTATTCCTACAGGCGTCCGCGGCAGCAAAGGTTTCCTAGATGGGGAACATTTCTGGGAGATCATTTTCCTGGAGCCGCCAGCAGGCACTTCCGTGATGGTGGGAGTCGGGACCAAGAAGGCCCTGCTTCACACCAACAACTACCAGTATGTGGATCTCATAGGTACGACTGCTTTCTATTTGGACATACCTACTATTGTATGTGGTGTTTTCCCTACCACGTTGTTCACAAACATACGTAACGAGGAACACATAAAACCAAATTACCCCGAGTGATAATACTACAGCGAATTATCCTGCAGGACATATTTTAATTGAACGAAGTAAAAGAAATAAAACAAATTCAAAATTGATAGAAACCATCTGTTCGTTTGAGCTGAAGTTAGCTTGTGACATGTCATGCAACGCTCATTGACTCGAAAAAAGGTATTTATTCTCCCGCTCGGAAATCCAGGTGCAGCCTGTCTTCTTCGTGGCGGAGTATGAGGGATTTATTCCCCCGCTCAGAAATTTATTTCCCTTCAAGGCGGGATCTATGATTATCATAGTATTTTATCAAGATTACGTAAACCAATTAGATATGATTCTGACATGGAGGTGTGCTAATAATATATTTTAGAATATACAAGAACATACTTTGACACATTCAATGATTATAGACAGATGTATTTCCCCTGTAAACAGAAGGGGCCGCCTCCGTGGTCTAGTGGTAGAGCGTCCGCCCGGAGGTGACGGTCCGGGGTGCGATCCCCGGCCGCGTCAAACAAAAGACGTTAAAATGGTACTTGTTGTTACCCTGTCTAGCACTCGACATTAAGGGGCTAAAACAAGGACTGGTCGGCTCGGAGTCAGTATACTGTGTCTGAGTGGGGTATTCATGTTAAACTGCGGCATGGTATCTCAGTGAGCTAGCACTATAAATCGGCATCAGTCCGGACTAGTACAAGCAGACACACACACACACGCACGCACGCACGCACGCGCGCTATTTTAGTGCAATTACCTTGGACGCGACGTTAAACTCCATTTCACCTCACCTTTAACAAAAGGAGAATGGCACATTTAACAATGTATGTATACTGTATACTTGCTTCTACAGGTATGGATGGGGAGAGCTGGGGCCTATCCCACAAAGGGAGGGTGTGGCACCGTGGTGTCCCACGAATGTACTGTGACCCAATATATGACCGCACTACTGTTATCGGATGCTATCTCAACCTATACAAAGGTACTCTCAGCTTCTACAAAAACGGCATGGACCTAGGGGTAGCTTTTAGCGGCCTTGACACTGTGAGAGAGCCCCTGTACCCACTTATCTCCTCCACAGCAACAGAGACTGAGCTTGGTCTGGGGGTGAGGTCATGCCGCTACCTCTCTCTACAAGAGAAGTGCTGTGCAATCATCAAGAACAATCTCGTGTGTGCGGACTCAGTTGAAAACCTGCCTCTGCCAAATGCGATCAAAAACCACATCAGGCAATTCTAACTTTTTTCTTATCACCAGGTAGAGTGTTTTAATGATGACGGGATTGTCGCCCTTAATGTCATACTATAAATCATGTCAAGCGTGTGAATGTGCGTGATCAGGATTTTGTGTAGGTGCGTATAGGTGTACTTGAACATGTTCGTGTTGTTGTGCGTTGGCAGTTGCGTGATTACCTCAGATATGACCAATTTGTGGAGTGAGTGTATACAGTTTACACATGACTGATCGTATCCGGTGACATTCAGGTTGTGTAAAGTGACCTGATCCCGCCGTCATATAGCTGTAATATTGCTGCGGGCGGCGTTAAACAACAAACAAACAAAACATTATTTATTACTCATATATGACTGATTTTGTTATTACCTCAGACCCTCGAGGATTATATTTTTGCTGAGGTTTTGTAATAAATATTTACACACCTACGTGTTTGTTCGATCAGCTCGCTGACATGACAATGAAATGAAAAAAATCGTTTTAATTTGCAATATTGTCTGTAATATGGAGAACTGCCCACGCTCGAAGAGAAGAAGACACTGATGGTTCGTACTCGACCCTAAACCTGGCTGTATTTGTGTAGCATCGATCCCGAACCATAATCCGGTTGTCTCAGCGTAGCACTGTACCCCACTCAGAACCTGGTTGTCTCCGCGTAGCATCGTACTCCGCCCATAACCTGATTGTCATAGTACCCGAACCTAGGGCTGGATATTTTATCGAAACACGGTACCCTAATCATGACTAGACTGTCTTAATGTACAATCGTACCCAAAGCCTGAAGTGGCTGTATCATTGTAGTAATATCGCCTGCCACAGTGTAGCATAGTACTCGAACCATCCCCTGGCTGTCTTAGCACAGCATTGTTCCCGATCAGTTGCCTAGTAGTGTAGCCTTCTACTCAAACCATGTCCCGATTGCACCCGAATTATGATCTGGCGGTCTTAGTGTAGCAACATATCTGAAGTATGACCTTATTTGCATATGCAAGCATTGAACTCGCTGTCATTGTGCAGTACTAAGCCTGAAACGAGGCCCGACTATGTTATGATTGTGACCGAACTACGCGCTGGATATGTGACAAAACCCTTTCCATATTCATAAGAAATATATGCCAAGAAACGATTGTACGATTTCGACTGTATCATGAGCATGTGTTTATGAATCACTATCAAATAGTGATGTTCGCGAAAAGGTGAGCCTGTACTTCTCAACTGATGGCACCTGTCATAAACACATACAAAGGCAAGTCAACTGTTCACCTGAAATAAAAACCACGGAAACATATGGTACGAGTCAAAATAGGGAATTGCATCGGACATCATTTTGTCAGTGATGCGTCAGATTTGGAAATGTCCTCCACATGTCTACAATAAAACATTTTGAAAGCTTCACTGGGGCCTTTACTGTTGAAACCTTGATCAAACAACTTCTGAACAAGAGTTATTTGACGTTCTTTGAAATCTTGGTAGAATGCTCGATTGTACCTTAAAAGTTGTGAAATGTAGACACCATGGTCTGGAGCTTCGGGAAATTGCTCGACATAAAGGTTTCTAAAATTTAGCATTACCTTGTCCGGAAGAATGAAACTTGATGATAAAAAACCAAAGCAGATGACAATAAAACCGATCGCCCAACGCATCACAGCAACGGCCATGGTAACCCGATGCACGTGAGTTCCGTGCAAATTGAAATGCACATGCGTTCCCCAATTTCTTGCCCTATAAAAATCCACCCAGATCGGATAACATTCATTCGTTTTTGAATTGCTACCACATGCCGAGATTGACAAGAAATCAGCGACACCAAGCCCTTTTGACGATTGCAAGCTGGACAAACCGCCCGGCAGGTAGCCAATGCATTTTCAAGTCCGTGTAAGGGCTATATACAGGCTCCAGCAACGGTACCAGACCACAAACACTACAGATGACCGACCACGTAGTGGAAGACCAAGGGTCACCACCCGACGTCAGGACCGTCAGATAGTGCGACAGCATCTTCAAGATAGCTTTGTTACTGCTGCGGAAACTGCTCGACAGACACATGGTGACACACCAGCGACACATTAGTGCGGACACCGTGCGTCGACGATTGACGAGCAGACACCTCCACTGTCACAGGCCACACCGAGGACATATTCTGACACCACGTCAACGCCGGGACCGTCTTCAGTGGGCACCACAGCACCAGCATTGGTGCTACCAGCAGGGGAGAAGAAGAAGGGGTGGGGGTGGGGGGTCTAAACATCATGGTGTGGGGTGGAATTGGTCTTGCACAGAGGGTCGGCCCTGTGGTCTTCCAGAACATCGGTCCAGGGAGAGGCAATGATGTCACAGCAGCTCGGTACATCTTGAGACCACACGCCATACCTCATTTGGCACGTCGCCGCAACCACGAGTTTCAGCATTATAACGCCCGTTTGAGCACCTGTGGGACGAGATTCATAGACGGCTGAATGACGTCCGACCAAGGCCGACAACTGCAGCTGAACTGCGTCAGGCGTTCCTCAAGAGTGTGGGCTCAAGTGCCTATGGCCTTCATCAACCGCCTCATCCATTCCATGTATTGACGTTGCACGGCAGTCATCAAAGCACATGGCGGACTCACGAGATACTGACTTGTGATGCCATTTTCTCAGAAACTAGTGTTGTGTTTCACTTTACCTTGATGATCAGTTTTGCCAAGTTTCATCTTTTTAATATGTCTCAAAGTATGTTTCCAGTGTTTGGACAAATAAGGTTTCTCATATATCTATCCATGGTGACGTTTCTTTTGCGGTTCAGTATACATAGATCTAAATATGAAACATATCAAGCGGTCTCAGTGGCCGCTTTTATTTCTAGTTCAGATGGGTGAATCAGTGGAAGGGAATTGGCTATTTGATGGTTATTGGACAAAATCAGATCAGCGATGAAGCTTAAGTTAAACTTTTTAACCAAATTACCTTGTTTTGACTTTGCCGATCCGAGCAGAAATTCTGATTTATATATACACATGCACAAAAATTAACCGCCACCATATTCATAGTCTCTTGATTTCACGTGTGGGAATCAGAAATACGAAATATGATGATGTTTCATGAACCCAAATTTGTCCAGATACCACAAGGAAAGCGTGCTTTACGTGTTGCTGCAGTTCCCCTACCCTATAAATAGTGAAATTCAAGTTTCAGACACGTGGTTGCATTTTGCTCCTGTGTGAGATTCCCCACCCAATAGAGGTTGAAAATCAGCCATGGTGAGGAGAAAGTTAACGAACGCTGAAAGATGGCAAGTGATAGGCAAGAAAAATGCTTGCATGTCATGCAGGGCCATTGCAAGACAAATGGGTCGTCATCATAGTGTTAACACTCGTTTGATTGTCAAACATGGTCAAACCAATGATGTCAATGACAGGCATAGGTCTGGTAGGCCACGAAAGACCTCTAACAGAGAGGATAGACGTCTTTTCAGGATAGTCACAGGAAATCCATTTGCCACTTCAACAGATTTAAGACTGCAGTGGATTACCCATCAGAGACTCTCGACGATGACCGTAAGGCGTCGCCTCAGAGCGGCTGGTCATAACGCCAGAAGACCAGTAAAACGTCCTCAACTGACTGAGAGGCACATGCGGAATCGTCTGATATGGTGTCGTGCCCGTAGTCGATGGAACTTGGCCAACTGGAGAAGGATCCATTGGTCTGACGAGTGTCGAATGCTGCAACGAACTGTTGATGGTCGAATACGTGTTTGGAGGCAACGTAACACTCGTTTTGCACGAAGGAACATCCAAAAGACCATAGCATGTGTCGGGGGGTCTGTCATGATATGGGGTTGTCTTCCTTCGGCTGCAAACTTCCGCTGGTGACAATTCGTGGAAACCTGAATGGCGAACAATACCAAGATGCCGTTCTTCATCCAGTGGTAGTCCCTCATTTTGACAATCATCCTCTTCAGACCTGTTTACATGGACGACAATGCTAGACCACACAGATCTCGGGCAGTTTTGGCTTATTTGCGTCAAGAAGCTATTGCCACTCTTCCTTGGCCGGCCTGTAGTCCGGATTTTAATCCGATTGAGCATCTCTGGGACATTCTTGGCCGGAAAATCAGACATCGTGATCCCCCAGTTCAAAATCTCGCTGGACTTGAAGCCGCACTTCATGAAGAATGGATCCGTTTGCCTCAGAGAAGCATTCAACGACTTGTAATGAGTATGAGGCGTAGGGTTGAAGTTGTGGTCAATGTCCGTGGATCATACACATGTTACTGACTTTTCTGTATTGCAATAGAGGTATGTCTATGTGACACCTGATATGGTCTGCTGATATCATGACAGGTACATGACAAAAACAGTTTTTCAATGTTTTCTAATCCTTCAATTTCTGGTCTTCGGTAAAATTCCTTTCTGCTCATATTCTTTTGGAACGCAAGAAAAATTTGCTTTGGGACAACTTTTGCATCACATGAGGTTTACATATACGGCTTATAACAATCGTACATCTCGTTATAATAGTCATCATTAAGTGCCAAAAGTAACAGCTCACAAATATGGTGGGTGGCGCTTAACTTGTACTAGTCCGGACTGATGCCGATTTATAGTGCTTGCTCACTGAGACAGCATGCCGCAGTTGTAACATGAATACCCCACTTAATACCGAGCGCCAGACAGGGTAAAAACAAGTACCAGCTTTTAACGTCTTTTGGTATGACGCGGCCGGGGATCGAACCCCGGACCTCCGCTCTCCGGGCGGACGCTCTACCACTACACCACGGAGGCGGTCTGCACACCATAGAAACATATAGAAAAGTATGTACGTTAAGTGATGTTTCCAATGTGTACCAATAACTGGCACACTAACAAGCAGTCAAGTGTCTTTATTGTTATCACGATATGCTGCACATGATTTCCAAACTTTACACGCGAATCCTGCACGAGACAAATGGTGCATCCTGTGTCATTGCCAATGACATCACATGTGATGCGTTCATGAGCGTTGGTTCACACATCATACCAGTACGTTCGTTTGTGCGTCTAACCAATCTAATATCTCTTGTAAATGAGTAGTTCTTCATATATTAACCAACATGTATGGTATTCGCGTTTCTTTTTGCGGTGAATATAAATATGTTTCCGTGTTCTTTTCAGGTGAACAATACGTGTTTGTGACTACTCCTCATAAATATGGAAACGGTTTTGTCGCTTGTATTTGTATGCCCCGACTTGCGTCCATCTACTTGCCTGGTGCGGACGGCATGCCCGGAAAACACCGACTTTTCTGCCTGTGGGGCAAGAACGGAGCACGTGCTTCTTTCAAGTTATTCAACTGTCACATATACAGGACATTCGTGAAATAGGACCTTACATATAGATATATTGCTGCAGCCACGTATGTTTACCAATCGTATTGCCTCTTATGAAAGTAAACCCCTTATCTTGTGTATTTCAATAGACCATGTTGATTGTTCATAGATGTTGTGTGGTTATTTACCGATTTCACAATTTAGGTCTGTTTTATACCAATTCTGGGTCTAGCTTCGTGTATCGATCTGGGAATCAACACATGTTGTAATGTCCTTCCCTACCGGTATCCACGCCGCTCATGCTGATGGCTTAGTCGGAATCGTACAATGGACTCTTCTTTCATAATACTTTTAGCAGAGATTGCTTATTATTATGGAAATGACTGTGACACTTTCATTGAAGGGAAATATGATATCGTTACAGATATCTGTAGGTTCTTTTGGCCGAGCGCAGCTGAGTCAGCTCGTTGCCTCGCCTGCAGATACCACTTCTTGCTTTTTTCTAAAACATTGACTTTGAACTCATCTCATTTCAGGGAAAGCAAAAGTGTTAGTTTTAAATTATCAAAAAACATAAACTGTTTTTTCTCTCATCAACTTTCCTCGCAATCTGCATCGAAGAATTCTGCCAGGTTCCTAACTATTATGAAAGTCACTCAACACATCTTAAAATAATTGTATTAATTTTTATCAGCAATAGTTGATTTTTCTTGTTATCTAGGTTATTTCAATATAAAGTCTGCACAGGTGGTATTTCGCTTTCTTGAGAGACGGTAACCCCACGCAGTGAGACAGATTTGGCAACTCAGAATCAGTTGCTGGGGTCAATGACGATTTTGCACGCTTTACCACTAAACAGGGCCGTGAAGGCCTCCTCATATTTGGACATTGGAAATTTATGAGAGATAATCTTGTTGACATCGATCTTGCCGTCTGCAACTAAGTTCTCTATCTCGCCCCAGGTATGATAGATCATCCGCCCGTGCACAGTCTTCAGTGTGAGCGACTTGAATACTGCAACCAAAAGTCACGTTCAGAATATCACAGGAAGGGCCGAACATTTGTTTAGATGAGTGACTATTTTCGACCCTTTTATAAAATCCTTGACTGATTTTTTCCAATTTGTATTTCATTTAAGGAGTAACATTTGTACAGTGACAAAGTGCGCCGGGTGTTCCAAGTTATCAAAACCAAATGAGGTGCCCGTATAATAGCCTACATAACATTCACCACGTACATATATTCCTGATGTGATCCTGCAGAACATTCTCCACGTGGAGCTATATATATAGTGGCATTGCCTTCTATATCTTGCAGTATATTCTCCTTGTGAAACCATACATAGTGGCATTGCCTACCTATATCCTGTAGTACACTCTCGACGTGGAGCTATATATAGTGGTATTACCAACCAATATCCTGTTGTACATTCTCCACGTGGAGCTATATATAGTGGCATTACCTACCAATATCCTGTTGTACATTCTCCACGTGGAGCTATATATAGTGGCATTGCCTACCTATATCCTGTAGTACACTCTCGAATTGGAGCTATATACAGTGGTATTACCTACCAATATCCTGTTGTACATTCTCCACGTGGAGCTATATATAGTGGCATTACCTACCTATATCCCGTTGTACATTCTCCATGTGGAGCTATATATAGTGGCATTACCTACCTATATCCTGTAGTACATTCTCCATGTGGTGAGGTGAGGTGAAATTGGGTTTAACGTGTCCAAGATTATTGCACTTCTATAGCGACGCGTATGCACGTGTATGTGTGGCTGCTTGTACTAGTCCGGACGAATGCCTATTTATAGTGCTAGCTCACTGAGATACCATGCCGCAGTTTAACATGACTACCCAACTCAGACACAGTATACTGACTCCGAGCCGACCAGTCCTTGTTTTAGCCCCTTTATGCCGAGCGCCAGACAGGGTAACAACAAGTACCATCTTTTAACGTCTTTTGGTATGACGCGGCCGGGGATCGAACCCCGGACCTTCCGCTCTACGGGCGGACGCTCTACCACTAGATCACGGAGGCGGTCCTTCTCCACGTGGAGCTATATATAGTGGCATTACCTACCTATATCCTGTTGTACATTCTCCACGTGGAGCTATACATAGTGGCATTGCCTGCCTATATTCTGTAGTACATTCTCCACGTGGAGCTAAAGATTGGTGGTGTTGCCTACCTTTATCATGAAGTACATTCTCCACGTGGAGCTAAAGATTGGTGGTGTTGCCTACCTTTATCATGTAGTACATTCTCCACGTGGAGCTATATATAGTGGCATTGCCTACCTATATCCTGTAGTCCATTCTCCACGTGGAGCTATATATAGCGGCATTACCTACCTATATCCTGCAGTATATTCTCCACGTGGAACCATACATAGTGGCATTGCCTACCTATATCCTGTAGTACATTCTCCACGTAGAGCTATATACAGTGGCATTGCCTACCTTTATCCTGTAGTACATTCTCCACGTGGAGCTATACATAGTGGCATTGCCTGCCTATATCCTGAAGTACATTCTCCACGTGGAGCTATATATAGTGGCATTACCTACCTATATCCTGCAGTAAATTCTCCACGTGGAGCTATATATAGTGGCATTACCTACCTATATCCTGTTGTACATTCTCCGCGTGGAGCTATATATAGTGCCACTGTGATATTACCTAACTATATCCTGTTGTACATTCTCCACGTGGAGCTATATATAGTGCCACTGTGATATTACCTACCTATATCCTGTTGTACATTCTCCACGTGGAGCTATATATGGTGCCACTGTGGTATTACCTAACTATATCCTGTTGTACATTCTCCACGTGGAGCTATAGATAGTTGTGTTGCCTACCAATATCCTGCAGTACATTCTCCACGTGGAGAGGCTGTTTGGGCAGACCAACCATCACAATACGACCGCCCTTCCTGAGCAGAGAGAAGCTGATGTTGACCATAGGTGGCGCCCCACTACATTCACACACTCGCCCTATGCCCAGGCCGTCAGTGAAGCTCTCTATAAACTGATAAAAGGATTACGTTAGTTCATAGAAATATATGTTGCACTTGTTATAACTGCAAACTAACTAATTAAAAAGAAGTAAACTGCACACTGAATAATTTCAATGAATTATGTTTCATTGACGTTAAACACGTTCCAGTCAGTCCAGCTGTATAACGTGCTTACCTGTTTGATAGACTTGTTGAGGGTGTTAACGGTGACCTCGGCTCCCATCTTTTTAGCTAGTTCTAGTCTGGAGTCGTCAATATCAGCCCCAATCACCCTAATGATATAACGAATAATTAGTATAAGCAAACTATGAAACATAACATGAGGTACAGAGACAGAGTGCGATCGGATGCACTACCACATCAATCAACCAACCAACCAATCAATCAATCTTTATTTCTAAATACTGAGAAGGCCTGAGTGAGTGAGTATGGTTTTACGCCGCTTTGAGCACTAATCCAGCAATATCACGGTGGGGGACACCAGAAATGAGCTTCACATATTGTACCCACATGGGGAATCGAACCCGAGTCTTCGGCGTGACGAGCGAACGCATTAACCACTAGGTTACCCCACCGCCCCTGAGAAGGTCAGAGGCCTGTAGTACATTATACAAAGTAGTTGAGGGTACATTTATACAATAGAATATATATCCATACCCATGAAAAGTGTTAAAATACATTATGTCGTTGAGTAGGTGCATGCTTACTAAGATTCTTGGCATGGAAATGAACATTGACAGACTTTTAAGTGTGACAGTATTTTTAGTCTTAATTACTAAGTAAAATTTACACAAGTGAAGATTCTTGCTTGAAAAAATTATCATTAATGAATTGGTTATTAATGTCCACATAAAATAGACAAATAAGTAAAAATGATATTCATCTTCTCAATTATTATAACTACACAGTTGACAGATTGTGTTTTCTCTTTGAATGCTGCAGTGTCTACCTGCTTCAGTAAGGAGATCGTGCGAGCTGCATCTAAATCGGGCTAACGTCACTCGGAATTTCCTTCAATCTATTTCAAATACACAGTGCTCTTTACTTAGGTTTATTTTGATATCCAAATAGTGATGTAATTCATTGGACAAAAGTAGAGAAGATAACTATTTTTTGAAGTACATGCTTTTTAAAGTCTGTGAAAGGTCAATAATAAATCGCTCTGGCAGACATATTTTTTTCAGTCCACACAAAAATTTGAATTTGGCATATTTAATAATGTTAACCAGCATTTATTATCCTTTATATGTACCGTCTATGTACAATGGGTATCTTCCACATTCACCATCTATATTTGGAGTGCTAGGTTTAAGAGCGAGACGGTTCTTACAAGCTTATAAATGAATCTTTTCAATAGTATTTATATTTCTGAATCTCCACATTTCGGCTCCATACATTAAAATTGGGCTACTTTTAGTGTCAAAGATTTTAAAAAAATGTATTACATTAACAAGTTGCTAAAGGTTTTGAAAAATGTCACTTCTTAGCTTGTAAAGCAGCCTTATTAATATGCACAGAGCATGACAATATGTTAGTAAAATACCATCTGTGCAATTTTCCTTGATTTGCTCTGATAATTCATTTATAAAGAAAGAAAAGAGAAAAGTACTTAAAATACACCTTTGGCTAACACCCCTATTACAACCAAACGTATCTGAAACAGTATTGTTATTACACACACTTTTCATTGTGATAGATACAGCACAATGATTTCCCCATTTTGCGACTAAGTCCATGCGTTCTAAATAGCTCCCAGAGTTTATCTCTATGACAGAGTCAAATGCTTTCGCAAAATCTACAAATAAGGCATATAATTTGCCACCCTATGTTGTTAGATATCTTTGTATAATACAGTAAAATAGAAACGTTATCAATTGTGCTATATTCTTGTCAAAACCCAGATTGTCTGCCCAAAGCATCACACTGTATTAATGATATATGTAAAAACTGTATTGAATACACTAAGAATCACAATTCCTCAAAAGTTCTTTGTATCAGTCAGAGTTACTTGTTAGTGAAGCCGAAGCCGAATAATAAAGCCAAGTGACCAATTTACAGGAAAGTAATAATTCTCTAATATAAAATTGAAGATCAGTTTAAGATAAAGAACCAATATGTCTGATGAAGTTTTTATGTTTTTGGAAATATCTTTATCCGCACCTGATGCCTTAGTATTCTTTAAGTGATTAATATTTCTTTCTTGGTGATTGGAGAATCGAAAATGTCTGTTGTCACATCGTTAGAATGATTATCATCCAAATTGAACTTCCCCAAATCGTCTTCGTTTCTATCATTAGGATTAGAGAATAATTCTTGAAAATGTAAGAAAATGTAAAAAACCGATTTTAAGCTTGTTCTGAGGCTGAGATTTTTTACAGTAGACCAAAACTCCAGAATATCTCGTTTACGTTTGTAATATTCCTCTTTCTATTCCTACACAAACCATGGTATTCGTTCCTTGCATACCTGCGAAACTTATTCAAACATCTACATCGTTCTTTCTTCAGGAATTGGCATTCACTATCAAGCCATTACTGATGTGAGTTTTTGTTTGCAATTACTGTTTTCCATACATGAAGCAGCAGTGCATAACGCAGCTGTGATATATCTAATGCTATCATCAATGTTATCATATATTGTGTCAACTCCCTTTTCCAGTATATCTTGGACAGTGTTAGAAAATATGTTATCTCTAAATTGGTCACCCGTATTGTCTATCCAAACACATTTGAATGAAGTGTTGCTGTTTGAAATGTGATAACCCGTTGAGTTTCACAAGCCATGCGTCTCGAACGTTTCATTGATTGGTGCTGCCCTAGGAAGCAGGACATTGTTTTATGTCTTTTGGTGCATACAGACTACGATAGGCGTGCATAGGTTAGGCCAGTTCTAATAGTATTTACTTGGACCATATATAATTATCATTAATGAGAAACCCTGGGGAACGCAAACGGCAAGTAATGATTTGTATTCCATGTAACTTTCACATTTGGATGTGAGATTACTATCAACAATAGGAGATATATACTTCTAATACTCCTTCAAGTTTATTACTCCTTTAAAGCAATTGTCTACAAAATATGGTGGATCAATGACGTCTCTCAGGCAAATGTAGGTGCTACATATTTGTGTGTTCTGGCCTTGAACACAAAAATAGGCTTCCATTGATATTGGTATACATTCTAATGAAGGCTAAATACGGGTATTTCTAGGGGTTACTCGAGTTATTTACGTACTATGCCCCAAACCAATAATATAGTCTTCTTTGAAAGATGTACATTAAGTGGGCATGTACCTAGTATTTCGTACAACGTAAAGTTCGGAGAGGACTTTCTGACTGAAGCTGCACATTAATTAAATTAACACTGGTACCATGACTGGGTATGACGAGGGCGATAGTAACACAGGACGCCATGACTAGGTGTGAGGAGAGCGATAGTAACACCGAACGCCATCACTGGGTGTGAGGAGGGTGATAGTACGAGGACGCTATTACTGTGTGTTGAGGAGAGTGATAGTAACACTGGACGCCATTACTGTGTGTTGAGGAGAGTGATAGTAACACTGGACGACATCACGGGGTGTGAGGAGAGCGATAGTAACACTGGACGCCATCACTGGGTGTAAGGAGGGCGATAGTAACACTGGACGCCATCACTGTGTGTTGAGGAGAGTGATAGTAACATTGGACGCCATCACTGGGTGTGAGCAGAGTGATAGGAACACTGGACGCCATCAGTGGGTGTTGAGGAGGGCGATAGTAACACCGAACGCCATCACTGGGTGTGAGGAGAGTGATAGTAACACTGGACGCCATCACTGGTTGTGAGGAGAGTGATAGTAACACTGGACGCCATCACTAGGTGTGAGGAGAGTGATAGTAACACTGGACGCCATCAGTGGGTGTTGAGGAGGGCGATAGTAACACCGAACGCTATCACTGGTTGTGAGGAGAGCGATAGTAACACTGGACGCCATCAGTGGGTGTTGAGGAGGGCGATAGTAACACCGAACGCCATCACTGGGTGTGAGGAGGGTGATAGTTACACTGGTGGCCATCAGTGGGTGTTGAGGAGAGCGATAGTACGAGGACGCTATTACAGGGTGTGAGGAGAGTGATAGTAACACCGGACGCCATCACTGGGTGTGAGGAGAGCGATAGTACGAGGACGCTATTACAGGGTGTGAGGAGAGTGATAGTAACACCGGACGCCATCACTGGGTGTGAGGAGAGCGATAGTACGAGGACGCTATTGCAGGGTGTGAGGAGAGTGATAGTAACACCGGACGCCATCACTTGGTGTGAGGAGAGCGATAGTACGAGGACGCTATTACTGGGTGTAAGGAGGGCGATAGTAACACTGGACGCCATCACTGTGTGTTGAGGAGAGTGATAGTAACATTGGACGCCATCACTGGGTGTGAGCAGAGTGATAGGAACACTGGACGCCATCAGTGGGTGTTGAGGAGGGCGATAGTAACACCGAACGCCATCACTGGGTGTGAGGAGAGTGATAGTAACACTGGACGCCATCACTGGTTGTGAGGAGAGTGATAGTAACACTGGACGCCATCACTAGGTGTGAGGAGAGTGATAGTAACACTGGACGCCATCAGTGGGTGTTGAGGAGGGCGATAGTAACACCGAACGCCATCACTGGTTGTGAGGAGAGCGATAGTAACACTGGACGCCATCAGTGGGTGTTGAGGAGGGCGATAGTAACACCGAACGCCATCACTGGGTGTGAGGAGGGTGATAGTTACACTGGTGGCCATCAGTGGGTGTTGAGGAGAGCGATAGTACGAGGACGCTATTACAGGGTGTGAGGAGAGTGATAGTAACACCGGACGCCATCACAGGGTGTGAGGAGAGCGATAGTACGAGGACGCTATTACAGGGTGTGAGGAGAGTGATAGTAACACCGGACGCCATCACTGGGTGTGAGGAGAGCGATAGTACGACGACGCTATTGCAGGGTGTGAGGAGAGTGATAGTAACACCGGACGCCATCACTTGGTGTGAGGAGAGCGATAGTACGAGGACGCTATTACAGGGTGTGAGGAGAGCTATAGTACGAGGACGCTATTACAGGGTGTGAGGAGGGCCATGGTAACACTGGACGCCACTGTGTGTGAGGGGGCGATTTGCGTTTATGTCACCTGTTAGCACCAAGAGCCTTGGCTGAAGCAATAGCAAGGAGTCCGACAGGCCCACAGCCAATGACGAGTACATCTTCTCCTTTCACCTCCAGCTTCTCTATTGCATTATGGGATACGCCTAAGGGTTCCAGCAGGGCGATCTCATCAGCAGCTGGTTTAAAGGAACAAAAAGACACCAAGTCACTTGACTGCTAAAATGTTTAGAAAACGGTTTCATGTCAATCAAAGGCTTTCCGGGAATCGAGTACTATTTGCTCTTCGTCTTTACACTTGCTAAATCAGTATTATACATGTTATTTTGTATCTGTATGTGACAGAATAAGTAAAACAGATTGTTTCAGGCACATGGCAGTATGGCAGTCAATAACCTTGAGTTGACTCCATTTCATATATTGATGTGAATTATACACAGCATCCTTACAATAACCCTGAATATATTACAATGATAGTTTGTATAAATTGACCAGAAAAGTATGATACACTCAACAGCAAAAGAAACACAAGTTGCATTTAAATACTTGAAACCACAAGACATAAAAATATCCATACATTTTAATTTCTTTTTCTGACATGTCAAACAGCTGTTAACAACTTTGAGGGCGTGTGTTTGATTACCACATGAATGTTTACTAGAAATCGTCACGCTCAAAAAGTACCCCTTGGTGTCATATCTGGTGACAGAGAATGCCATATTGTAGAAACTCCATGGGAACTCTATCTGTGTGGGGCGAACCTGGCGGAAGACTTGGACCTGATGCTGAACATTACTGATACACATTGACAACGTAATCACGTGACATACTGACGTTCATCGAGAAATGAACGACAGTCAGCTTGGTAGTGTTCACCTAGTCGAGGTCACCCGCTACTGTCAATATTGCAAATTATATATTTTATCAACCATAATCTACACTTGCGTTTCTTTTGTTGTTCATTATATATTGACAATAGATTGATATCATTTGAGATTTCAGCTATATTGGCGGCATCCTTGGATTTTCTACCACCAGAGGGAGCTACTATGCTGGATCCATAACCAGAAATGTTCGGTGCTTTGGACCAGAAGTGCACTATTTTCATCTTAACCTTCCCGGCCACTATATAGGCGTCCTGAGAGGTCAATGTTTTCTTAACATTTTCATAACACAGTCAAAGTGTCAATATAGTCAACAACATTTGATAGTATAAAAGAGTCACTTGACCCTTATTTGAATCTTGTTTGAATGTTTAAAAACAGTAGATCTATCTATTCTCGAGTTTAAAGGGGCACTGATCTAACGCAATTCCCCGGGACTGGTTGTTGCCTTTGTTATTGTTTTTTCCCAGTGAGTACCCGGATGTATAGCAGAAATCTAGACTAGTTCGCGACCTCTGCTGCGCAATTCGTAAGCGCATCAGTCACTTTTATGGGTAGTAATAAGGCGTATGGTCACATTGATCAACAAAATGAAATACAGTTTTCGAGAAAATGAGGAAATGTAGGTATCTTTGTAGGTGAGGTGAGGTGAAATTGAGTTTAACGTCGCGTCCAAGATTATTGCACTTATATAGCGACGTGCATGCACGTGTATGTGTGTGTGTGGCTGCTTGTACTAGTCCGGACTGATGCCGATTTATAGTGCTAGCTCACTGAGATACCATGCCGCAGTTTAACATGAATACCCCACTCAGACACAGTATACTGACTCCGAGCCGACCAGTCCTTGTTTTAGCCCCTTAATGCCGAGCGCCAGACAGGGTAACAACAAGTACAATCTTTTAACGTCTTTTTGTATGACGCGGCCCGGGATCGAACCCTGGACCTTCCGCTCTCCGGGCGGACGCTCTACCACAAGACCACGGAGGCGGTCAGGTATCTTTGTAGGTAGCATCGGTAATGGTGACGAAGATTTGATAAGTCACTTGCTTGGTAATTTTGCGATTTTCGCTAACACTATTTTGACTTGCAACACAAAGTAAACATTTCACCTGAGCATTGCTTTTTTATAGTGTGTATATTTTTTTAATGTCAAAATGTGTAACATTTTCAAATTTATTAAAACTGACTAAAAAACATTTCCATTTGTATTATTATGATAACGAATTCCCAACATTTTGATGTTTAATGTCATCACCAAGAGACTGAAAATGTTACGTTGAAAAGTACATTTCTATGTTGTTTGGCTTCTAATCCTACATAATAATCTGTTGTGATGTTTGTAGGCCCTTTTGATCATCTCAATCAATATGGACAGATTTTTGAGTCAAAATGACTGAAATATTTACACATTTTATAAATTGCCTGAGAGAATCACATTTTACAAATTGACGGTAATATATACACGCTTACAAAGGAAAAGACCTGTGAAAACAACGTCTATCGTGCATTGAAGAATTTCCCAACCAAGACGTAGAGAAACAAGAACGAATCGGTTCCAATGAAGGAAAACAAAATGCAAATACCATAATTGCAACCTACCAAATTTATGTGTATAAATTTTAGGAGCTTCCTTGTTCGAGGAATGTATCCGTGAATATCCACACAAAGGAACAATATCCCACTCGTCTGCAGCTGTACAAAGAAACTTATTCTGTGTCACGTGTCTCCGTAACAATCAAATATTTTAAAAGATATATATCGTTTCGGGATATTATAACCCGTGTTCGTTTCTCAACTGATCACTTGGATTGTTTCAGGTGTTTCACATAGGTGTCAAGTCTCAAGGGTCGGCTGAGAAAGCCCAAGTGACAACTATTTTCATAACGTCCACGGTTCCTAAAAAATCCATTGAGTGACAGATAACAGTGATCAATCAATCAACGTATTATCAGTTAACCGTTTGAACAAAGTATGTTGTTTTTACATCGGCACTTCACGCCATGATATGAGTGTATTCCCTTTGTTTTAGTAAACCTAGACATGTAAACACTCACTCTTGACTTATCCACTGTGCAAGATAACAGTAATTAATCAATCAGCGTATTTTCTGTAAATCCTTTGATGACTTGGAACGAAAAGTAAATCAACTGATCATTCACCTCTTGCTGGTCTGCCACGTGCATATTACATAACACACATTTCACCTCACTTCAAACCTGGATTTAGATTGAATAATTACCCCAGACACAATAAATGCCATATGGGAACCTTTGTCAGGTAATCTAAGGGGTGCTACCACTAATTGTACCTGTAATAAATTCATTAACTGAGCATCAAGTGAATGACGACAAATACACAAGTGTAGGGTTATACAAGAAAACGTGGATGACAACAAGGGAGTAGTAATCGTATTATCGACGCAATCCGAAATCCGAAAATGCTTTCACTGCATAGATACTTTTTTTAATATTAAACTTTAACCATTTGGGGTATTTCCAAATCTGATGAGCTCCGCTGTTCTTTTTGTCTGTTTGTTTAGGCTGAAGAAATTTATTTACATGCGCCCTTTGTCGAAATCTTTATAGATCACAGTTAACCAATCAGTGTTTATGCAAAAATTCGTAAAACAAATATTGCCTCCAGCCTCCAAGTTTATTTAGCTGCCCTTGCAGACGGTAGCCCAGTCTCTGGTCACGCTCAGTTGCGTTGCGTATCATCCGGGTACTCACGGGGGAAAAAACAATAACAAAGGCAACAACCAGTCCGGGGAATTGCGTTAGATCAGTGCCCCTTTAAGTTTATTCGATATTAAAAGACAACCACTAAAATATCTTCATGATTTTGCCATTGAATAGATTCTTCTTCTACTTCCAAACTAAGTTTGTCGATTAAACGAGATCATCTTTTACACGCATAGCGCTACAACAATCAAACGGATGATTTCTGCAAAATCATTTCCGGACATTCACAAGATTAGAACAGACGGAGTTACCCCCCTTGGACTACTCACACAAATTTCTTTTCAAGACGTACAGGTAGCGGGCTGGCACAATCGTGTACTCAGAGCACCCCCCATGCTGGGTCTGTTTGCCGTGGCCGAACTGGCCCATATTCCTGCATATCGCCCTGTTGTCATACTTGCACTGGTGACATGACCCGCAGTAGTAGTGATTCTCCACCCCGACTTTGGCCCCAACTGTGAGCTGGGCTTCAGGTCCGCACTTGACCACAGTCCCTGCACACTCGTGACCTGGGACAAAGGGAATGGTGGCGATCACACGTGCCACGTCATTCCATTTGTACAGGTTGATGTCGGAGCCACAGATTGCCACAGAATCTACTTTGATGAGCACCTCATCTCCCGTTGGATCGGGCACAGGAATGCTTTCATAGACATACGACTCTTCTTCGTTCTTCTTGACAAGTGCCTTCATGATTTTAGGGATGTTGGAAGCCATGTTTCCGCTGGTGCAACTAGCAGTGTGTTACTGGGCTGAGAGGAGAGCATGTACTGCCTTCGTGACAGACGGTTGGACGCTGGAAGATAAGAGTCGAAACCTCACCTGCTCAATGCCGAGCAAAGTAGAACAAGGTCGTTTCCTATGGTAGACTGAAAGGGACAAAATCGCTATATATTATAAGAGGCGCCGTTTTACTCTTTATTCCCACTTTTATTATATCAATACGCCATTTATTTATATAACAAATTCGATTATTAAATGTCAACAGAAATGATGTAATTTTAGATATAATAAATGGAACAAGCGACACCGTAAAATGAACTATCGATATCACGAATTGGACTTTTAGACATCACTAAATATTTTTAGACAAATTCGAAGCCTATCTATTGACAACTAAAACTTGTGGTAAACGTAATTCACTTCTTGGTTCATGAAATTAATGAACCCTCCTTTAAAGTAGCAGAAAATAAGCTATACGTTAATATTGTCTGTCACGTTTGTAACTCTGTAACTGGTAATTTATGCATTGTTTTTCGTGAATTATTCGCGCTAGGTTTCAAAACTGTTTGCCATGCCATTTAACCCCCTAGTGCCCACAACCTGATCCAAGTGTCTAAACATAAAATACTTGTTTATGTTAATGCTTTCTGTTATATTTGAACATCTCAGGTGAAATGTTGGTGACATTTTGAAAAGTAACCGAGAAAACAAATGTAGCATTTGTGCTGCATAATCATATAATGAACTCAAACAAAGTGTTTCTTCTATCAAACTATTACTATTCAATAACAAAATTCAATATTAATTCAACATTGCAGAGAACAAGACTGTAACAAGTCAAAATCACTCAAGATAAAATTCATCCACATCTATCCAAGTTTTGGACGGAATTGAAGACTGTCAGTGGTTGGATTGTTCAGATATGGAATGTAAGGAAGCAATTTCTGTCTGTGTTCTGACAGAAAGGGAGTCCACGTTTTAAGCATTCGATGAATGTGAAGCCACTGCATTTCGCAAACTTCCACCTCAGGTGAGTTGTATCCAAGACGTAATTTCTTCTAGGACGTAAGCTCATTTTGCGAAAAAAAGGCTTTCCAAAACATTTTATTGCAAAGTAAATTTAAGTTTCACTTCAATAAATTATTTAAAGATTATTTTACTGATAATTTAACACAAAATTAACGTTTCTTTTAATTTAAAACAAACAAACAAATAAAACACTTGAGAGTTATCTCCCCTTTTCATTTCTTATGCCACAGTGGGATTTAACGCCAAATTACAAAAGATCAAAATACATTAACACCACACACTCATCAAAAAATGCTGTGTATATATCCAATGAAGATGAAGAAACGGTTTGCGAAACGAGTTGTTTCCCGAAAGAATGTATACTACTCTGGCATTACACTGCTGAAGAGAAGCAAATCTTCTACAAGGAGGCCGCCATCTTTGATGATCTAGGGGATCGTCACATACTGAGTCGGCAATTAGTACGAAACTACACGATGACTTGCGAAATGTAGAAATTTACGGTCATTGGGGGGAGACAACTCCTAAAGACAGTATACATGTACATCCCCACTGGTTAAAGTGTTATGTAACATAAAAGCCACAATGGGCTCCAGAGGGCTAAGATGCTAAAGTGACATTCTGCAAATAACCTTAGCTCTTCAGACTCCTAATCCTCACAGTCAAGGGAGCAGTTATTATCAAAATGTTGAAAAATGAAACTATATACAGACAACATATTCAGTAACAGGACACTACATTATTGATATAGCGTACTACATCACGCCATCTGGAGTTATGTATATAAAAAATCATTCATGAAAAAAATGTATGTACATGTAGGTATTTGCTAATACTATTAACATGGGGTAAATGGACAAAGTTTTACAAATGTTTTATCAAGTTGGAAATTGTGAAATAAGAAATTATTACAACTAACTGACAACGTTCCATTATCTTTAGACTGCAAAGGGTCAACCCGACAACGCATGTCAGACAGGACCGCATCTCTCATTGTGCTTGTCAGATAGAGTTAGGCAAACAAATGTAACCTTTATCTGTAGTTGCAGCTGTTTATCATCCACCCTTATCAAATCACAAGCACCACGTATACATTCGTTGTATACTAGCAACTGGTAAGCTATTATACTTACTGAACTTCACACATAAACACCTATATCAGCAATATCTCGGTCAAACTAAATTATACAGAAAGACGACATAAAAACTACAACTATGTTTGCATTCCATGTGGGTTTTGAATCAGTGATTGTGCCAAGATATTTATGCCTGTCTACAACTTCTATTACCATTTTATCAATACCAACTGGATTAAAACATGAGTTATTTCTTAAATGCTGTGACCATTTCCTGTGTTACTATCGTCCGCCTCACATCCAGGCTGTATGGTATTGAAAGCGGATGCAAATTCGAAGAACACTATACTCACATGCAATTTACCGTTATTTGTTGATGGCTTTAATTGTTATGCTAGAAATAGTATGTTTTAACTGATGTAAACTATGTCACTATGTCCAACATAATGGGTGAGAGTCAAGATGAAAAAGTGTGCACAAATATTTTCATACAGACAGACTGCAGATAGAGTCTACCACACATGCCAAGTAAAATACCATTAGGTGTATTCTTCGAGATACGAAGATACGTTTACAGAAGGATATTTGTACATTTTCAATTTCTGTACGATGTTCACCAAACCTCAGCTCTATAACACAAGATCGCAACGACAACACTGTCAAATGTTTTAAAGGCGAAGTGGAATGATGGTTATCAATCATTCTTTTGATAGTATTTGATAGATAACTGATTGATTGGTTTTTCTTTAGCTAAAAGACCACGACGGAATGTTTTGCTCCTCGACAACTTTGGAGAGAAAACCGTTCCCAAATATTTATAAAAATTCACAGCTTCAATTCTTTCTTTTTTTAAATACCATTCTTCGTAGCTTTTTAATCTCCAGCGTTGTCGAAACACAATAATTTCAGTTTTATTAAAATGTACTTCAATTCCACTGGATTTACAGATATTTTCAAGAACGTATGCTTTCTTTTGCTGCTGTAAAACACTGTTCGCAACAGACAATACATCGTCTGCGTACAATAATGCAAATAGATTTGGTATCTCTAAACAAATAAATATGCCTTGACCACCATTTTGTTCCAACATCACTGGTGGTTCATTTGAAAAGATAATGATAATGGACTGAAAACACATCCCTTACCATAGAATGATCATCCTCTATATCTCCACGACTCGCATTTCGGTAACCCACACTAACCCCTGGAATCACTCTCGTAGTCCTCTCGATATCAAATTACCCGTCCTGCAAGGCAGGCAAGGGAATCCCGATCAGCTGTACCCAGGGTTTTCAATGTAGCGCCCAGCACCATCACAAGGCTATGGGATCAGTTTCAACAGCATGGGTCAACACGTGATCAGCCAAGGTCGGGACGACTGAGAATAGCAACCCCCGCCCAAGATCGCTACATCCGACTGCGCCACCTACGTTAAAGGACTAACACAGCCACCTCAACTGTATCCGAAATACCCGGACTGCGCAGAATCTCTGACCAGATCGTACGAAAGCGTTTAAGAGCAGCAGGTCTACGAGCAAGACGTCCTGTTCGACGCGTCATATTGAGTCGACAACATCGCCAACAATGACTGCATTGGTATCGTCAACACAGGGTAGGCCTCAACTGCGATGGAGACATGTCTGGTTCAGCGACGAATCAAGATTTGTCCTCCGTCGAGGAGATGGAAAAGCACGGGTCGTTACATTAGTTACGCCGGAAACTGCATACAGGAAGTGAACAGGTTTGGTGGGGGTAGCGTTATGATGTAGGCGGATATCTCTCATCATGGCAGGACCGGTTTGGTCCATATCCAGGGCAATCTTACTGCTCAACGATACATCAACGAAATTCTCCAACCACACGTCCTCACAATTGTAACCAACGGCAACGGTGTATTCAAGCAGGACAACGTTAGACCGCATACAGCAGAGCCTGTCTACAGAGCAACAACGTTGATGTTCTCCAGATCCCCGGGTTTGAACCCGATAGAGCACCTGTGGGAGGAATTGGGTAGATGGCTACGCCGACGTCAACTACAACCCCAGACGTTGCAGCAGTTGGCTTTTGCGTTGCAGGCCGAATGGGCTACTATTCCCCAGGATGTGATTCGCATGCTCGTCTCTTCCACGGGCAGGAGATGTCAGGCCGCTATCGATTCCAAAGAGGGACATACGCGTTCTTTATAGTAGCTGACCTTCACCTTGGACTTTTCCTATGTACCAATAACTGAGATGACTACAATCGCCAAGTGTTCCCTCCACAACATTTTGGATCAATACCTTGTACGGTTCCTCGTATAAATCTATTTTCCTACCTCACACAAATCTGGCCTTTGCATTTCTTTTTTTGAAGACTATATTTATGATATATCAATTGTTTCACTGATAGATAAAACATAAATATTCCTCTAAATATATCACCTATAATGAAACAACAAAAAGATTTAAAAAAATTGAATGTTATTTATCAATATTGAAAGAATCGGTGTAATCGGTGACAAATACTAATATTTGTTTTTTTGCCCTATATTTGATTGTCAACTCATATCTTCATCAACCAAAGTTCTGTTCTGCTAGAGCAGCTGACTTCTAATTGACGTCATTTCTGGTGTCCCCCGCCGTGATATTGCTGGAATATTGCTAAAAGCGGCGTAAAACCATACTCACTCACTCTAATTGACGTAATATGCCATACATAATGGCTGCATTAACGTGAACGCAACGGAAAATACATTCACAATAGTTTATTATTATATATTTAGTGAATATAAAACTTACATTCGTGTTTTGTTTATTGTAAATTAGAGTGTCTGGCGAATTATTCTTATGTAACAGTTCTCTTAACTGAACAAAAAATAACAACGGGATTATACTCTTTCCATCTATATGCTCAGTTTATTTTGTACCGCAAGTCAAGTCGAGTTTTTTCTACAGCTACATGTATTTACCAAGAGTAAGAATCTACGTCTGTACTTCATAAGACATTAACGTATTGATCATTTCCGTTCGAATTAAAACAACTGAACAAA